TGTGTTTTTTCATTTATATATACATTCATTCAATCATTCAGTCATTAAACAAACACTGAGTACCTGTCCTCAATCAACTATTCTTGATTGCAAACTCAATGTAGGAAGAGCCTATACTCAGTTCCTTTTTGGCAAAGAACTAGCACAATGCTCAAGTTGAATTTAGGAGGAAAGCAGGACATAGGAAACTGGCCTGGAAGGAGAGTGCCTTTGGGCTGGGCAGTAAGGGAAGGATGGGGAGGGAGAGGACAGGGAAGGTGGAACAGAACCAGTGGGCACAGAGGTGGGAATGGTACAGTCTCTTCTGCGAATGATGCATCCTGCACAGCTTACAGTTTTGCTGGACCAAAGTGTTTGGAGAGTGGAAGATACTCTTCATATAGTGATGGTAAATAATAGGAAATCACCATTTTACCCTGGACACATTACAGACCCAAGGTTTTGAATGTCAAAAATATTGAAAGAAAAATAAAAATATTGCTTCTCTCATGTATGTGAGGCAGGCACCTTTCTAAATATTTTGTTAAAAGCTACAGGTGATCCAGAACTCAGTAAGAGTCAAGCCCTTCATTCAGGGGACAGGAGGTCTTAGCAGTAAGAGTCAAGCCCTTCATTCAGGGGACAGGAGGTCTTAGTGGGGGATGGGTAGGAGCTTGCCAGGTGGAGAAGGGAAGGAAGGATGGCATTCCACATGGGTGGAAATTGGTTTAACCAGAGAGGGAATGGGGGGGATGGGTAGGAGCTTGCCAGGTGGAGAAGGGAAGGAAGGATGGCATTCCACATGGGTGGAAATTGGTTTAACCAGAGAGGGAATAGCCAAGTATGTTCTATTTTGAGAAAAAATGGAGAGGAACCCTGGAGGAAAGGTCTGTAAAGGGAGGCTGTGGACACCTTGTAGAAAGCCCTGGATTCCAGGCTAGGGATTTCATGCATAATCATAGAAGAGCTAATGAAATTTTTTGAGTAGGGAAACACATAAAGCGTCCTGGAGCCATTTCTATCTCACTAATGGGGAAAATGAGATGGCTGGAAATGACATCAAGGTCTCTGGCCAAACTGGCAGAACCAGAATCAAAGCTTAGCTTTCCAGGATCCCAGACATTTCTTGGGACCAATCTTCTCAAACATATACATGTATATACTTTTGGAGTGACTTACCATTTATTTCTAAGTACACTTCCGAGGCGTGACCAGATCTTTCTCCTCTGAGAATCTTTCACAGTATACTGGTGAATGATTTGTTTTGGATGAATATAGTATCTTTCATCTAGAGATCTTAAGAAGTCTTAATGACAACCAAGCTTCATTATTTCTGTTTTGTGTAAGAGGAAACTGACTCACAGAGGGTTTCAGCTATTTTCTCATTCACCCAGGGAGTTATTACCAGGACCATGAATGAAACTTAGGATGAAACTCTACTTCATAAACCACAAAACTCTGTACCCTTTATAGTAGTGGAGTTTACAAAAATAATGACACCTCTGTATTGAGAGTTCACTTCCTTTATTCTGTTATTAACTACTGTCTTATGTGGGGCAGAAGCATCTCACTACAACACCACCAGCCTGAGTTGTTTGGCAGTGTGAAGTAAGGTAGGAAAAGTTGTTTCGTGTTCTACTGGTGATATCTGGACCATTGACAATTCACTGTTTTTATTCATCCATCCATTCATTAATTTATTCATTGAATTAACATATAGCTGAGTCACTATTACATCACTGTAAAATGGGCGTAGTAATATCACCATTAGCAAAAGGTCATCTCAAGAATTAAGATAATTTCTATAAAGCATACTGCCTGGCACATAGTAAGCCCTTAAAATAACAATTATTATCATTAAACAAGTAATTACAAGAGCCACATTGAAGGCAAAAAAAGGTCCTTTTACAGCCTTATGTATGTGTGGAGAGGATAAAGTTCCATCTGAAGGGTGAATTAATTTTGGGGGAAGAGGAAGATCCCTCAAGTCAAAAACCAGAACTGAGGAGATGGACCTCAAGTAGACAAAAGAGGGAGCAGGCACCCTCAGTTTGGACTATGAAGTGTCAGAGGAGCTAGAAAGGTGTTGCTGGGTAGTGGACAGTAAATTGACACCAACCACTTAGAAATCGCTGGGAGTGAAAAGACACAGAAAAGAAACAGACAAAATTCACATGAAATGGGTGGAGATTTTAAGTCCTACACAGTAAGCTAGTGATGGCAGAATCAAAGCCTTATCCATTGATAGGCCAGCCTGTTTAAATACCCTGTATTTTCTGTGTTTGAAATAGTATTGTTCTTCCTTAGGATTGAACAAAAGCTTTTGTCCAAGTTCCTGCCTGTCTCATCTGGGCTCAGGTCACATCAGGGACAGTGTTAAAAAGCAGCAGACCCCGGGGGGGGGGGGAAGCAGCATATCTCTGGGACAGAGATATGGAGCAATAGGAATCAGGGTGGGAGAACAGCAAGCTCAGGAGGACCCTCTCTATAACTGCTTTGGGATGAGCTGAGCTGATTTTATTAGGAAACTGCCATTTTCTTATACCTGTTGCAATTCTAGACTTCTGTGTGACCCAAGCACTGGATTTGAAACCTTTACCAACCCAGATACAAAACCTAGAAGCCATAATAGAAAATATCAACAGATTTGACTGCATAAAAGATAAAAACTTTTGTGTAACAAAAGATAGCACAAAACTAAATGCAAGCAATAGGTTGGAAGAAAATATTTGCAAACTATATTTTAATATTATAACAAGGAAGAATACCCATAATGCATAAGGAGCCCCTATAAATTACTGAGGCAAGACCAATGGAAAAAAGATATAAATAAGTAATTTCAAAAGAAACAGACACACAAAATGCCCATCTCCAGTAGTAATTAAACAAGTAAATTTAAACAAGGTGTCATTTTGTTTGCCCATTATATTGGCAAAAATTTAAAAATTTATTATATTTAATATTGGCAAGTGTGAAGGGAAATGAGCAGTTTCTTCTGATGGTGAGATTGTAAACCGGTGTAGTCATTTTAAAGGACAGTTTGGCAGTATCTGTAACTGTTTGAAGTATGCCTACCTTTGTTATAACAATTCCACTTTTTGGAATCTATATATTCAAGTATCTCCACATGAAGGCACAAATACAAGGATGTCCACGGCAACATTGTGACAGTGAGCAAACAGAAAATACTAACTAACATTTATTGAGGGCCTGCACTTTTCTAAGCATTTTATAACAAACATTATGAGGACGCTGAGACATAGAGAAGTTAGGTAACTTGCTCAGGGTCACACAGCTAGTGCTTAGTAGTGGCAGGATTTCAGTCAAGGCAATTGTCTTGGACATCTGTTCTTAACCACTGTGCCTTCTAATAGAGAGTAAACATAGTATGATACATCCATACTACGGGATAGAGTACAGCAGTTAGAATGAGGTAGCTCTCTGTCTACAGACACGGACACATCTCTACGACATATTACTAACTGTGGAAAAAAATCAAGTTGCAAAACACTATAAGGTATAATTCCATATCCGTGGGGAAAAGACACATGTGTGTATATACATGTACCTATGTGTGAGAATGGGTAAAGTCCTTGAGTGATAAAAGAACGTATATGGAAAGAGAGTTAGAAGAGTAATTATTCAGGTTGTTCTATATATTTCTGGTTTGTTTGAACTTTTACAAGAATGCATTTGTGCTTTACTTTTTTAAAAGAATTGCCATACAGGCCCCCCCCCCAAATAAAAGGTTTAACTCATATCAAGAGATTAAACTTCTCTTCTTCCAGGTATACAATGATATAGGTCTTAGATAAAAATCTCCTATACTATGGCCTTTTCTAGTCTATGTAAATGACCATATGCAGAATGTGCCCAGTATATGTATCTTGGTCAGTTTCTTTTCTTTTAAAATAAAGTTTCCATGTCCAGTATTTGAGACCACGGTTTCCTGTTATCCCACCAAACTCCATCCAAATACACAGCCAGTCGTTGCAAAATTAATTTGGAACCTGAGAACCACACAGTGTTCTTTTTTCCTTGAATATTATATTGTCATCATGAAAAAGGAACCCGTAATCATGGATTATCTCATTATTTTGCTCCAGTGCATAAGGAGTAGTGCTAGCTCATTCTTTTCTTGGTGGGGTCTGTGGAGGTATTAACTCAACATACAAACCTAAAGGACTTACCTTTTGACCAGAAGTCAGTGTTATTATCTGAAATGAAAAAGCTTTATTAGATCATCCAAGGCCCCCTTCCCACCTACCACCAGGTAAGGGTGGCTTTAACCCAAAATGAAAGACGCTTCTAGAACACTCACTGATTAAAACACCATGTTTACAAGATTAAGGCCTTAGCCTATCTGTGGGCTTATCATTGATTTGCCAGTGAGAAGGTTCTTAAGATTCTCACTACTTAATGGATATCAGATTGTAGCTTTTTTTTTTGAGTGACATGTGTCAGTGCAGTTTTCCAGTTTTTAAGATTTTAACGTGCTCTTATGCATCTTTACAGAAAAAAAATCCAATTCACTTAAAAACCACTAGGTTTTCTTCCCATTCTTACAGTTGCTCATTTTACACTTATAGTGTGCACAAACTATAGAAAGTTCAGTTAAATATAGTACAGCAAATCTCAAGTATTCATCAGGTTCATACTCAATCCCAGATAGAAATTTTTTGCACTTCACTTTCATTTCTTGGGTCTTCAGTGATGTTAATCATAATTATTAGGGATATTCTGAGCTTGAATCTAAGCTGTTATGTAATATGATCATATATTTTGTTTTATTAAAGTGTTTTATAAATTGTTAAAATAAAGGCTATTTTAGAAATCAAACATTTCACATGCTCAGTGAACAATTTAGTCCATTCATTTATTGAGTGATTAATATAGCCAAGACACTTTTATTAGGGTGATATATTACAGATATGAGAGTTGACATCAGATGTTACAGTTCGGGGGCGGTACTAGGCCCGTAGGCGGCCAGACCCGAGCGCGAGGAGCCAGACTGCGGGCCCGGCGGTGGCGGCATGAGCCGGCCCCCGCCGACTGGGAAAATGCCCGGCGCCCCCGAGGCCGTGCCGGGGGACGCGGCGGGAGCGAGCCGCCAGAGGAAGCTGGAGTCGCTGATCCGAGACCCTCGCTCCCCCATCAACGTGGAGAGCTTGCTGGTAGGTAGCCGGGGCCTGGGAGCCCTCCCTGTTCTAGCTCATGCCTCACATCCCCTCCGTCCACCCACCCGTGGGAAGCGGGGAGGTCTCGCCCCACCCGGTCCAGCTTCCGGCAGCCGGGGCCGGAGACCAAACGCTTTTGCGACTAAGTTCCTAGCGTAGAGACCCACCTCTAGCGGTCCTCCCTTCTACCTCCCGCTGGAGCTGGTGTCATCCCCGGCTGCCCCTCTCTTGGAACACTGGAAGGAAACACCCCTCTTCTGCTTCCCTACTACCCACTCGACTTGGGGAGTAGGGTGGGGGATTGACTATTCTTCGGACACCATACTAGCCAATTTGAAAATGTCGTGCTGCGTTGGGATTTGGGTGCAAGTAAGGGAGACAGAAGTCTAGTGGTTGTCCCTATTGGGAGTACCCTGGGTACCTGACGAAGAGCTGCCCACACTCTTTCCTTTTAGCCTGAAATCGTGGAACACATAGCTGAAGTGTTACTGTTTTCAGTTGTCTTTGAACATTCTGTATGCAATTTAGTACATTTCAACTCTTGTAAATTTAATTTCCCGAGATTACTGCGCCAGAGCCAAAAAATTAGTCTGAATTGTAGAATGGAATAATTCTCCTCCCCTTCATTGTATCTTTTTCCTAAGACGGCCACTTTTGAAATCCAAATTAATAGCCACGTAAAAACCTGCTAGTTGGCTCTTAAGAAAGGAAAATGTTTTACAAATTAGAAATGCCCCGTAGAGTGCTGGTTTATTATTTTGTAGAGATGGTAAAAGGGGTTGTGGATTTTTCCGAGGAGAAGAAAGCGAAAAAGATACTCTGGATATTAACTCTGGAGAACTGGAAATAGGGTGGGTGATCCTTGGATCCTTTGGACATTCTGTCACAGAATGCAGATGTTCAGTTCCCTGCTGAGAGGAAGCTAGTGTCTATATGATGACAAAAACTGTCTCCTCCCTTTCCAGGGACTGACTGATTTTTCTTTAGAGGCCGTTGGTTATCCTTTGAGGTTTCTGGAATCATTTGCAGAGTGACTCAGTCCTGTTTGGCCAGAACGCAGGAACTGACTGAAGAGTGTGTGGCTTTCTATACAGTGCGCAGAATAGAGAGATACTGTATCACACGTTTGATGTTTTCTTTTACTGATTTTTGGGTTAGTGTGTTGCTCCTGTGTTCTCATGGGAACATGACATCCTGGACAGTTTTTGGAGGAGGGCATGCATGGAGGGCATAGCTTTTCGTAGGCTAAAGCAGAGACTCTGGGCTTCACTCTCAGCATTTTCACGTTGGTATTTTGCTAGCAAAACTTTGACCTAAGGCCAGAAAGTTCAGTTAAATATAGTACAGCAAATCTCAAGTATTCATCAGGTTCATACTCAATCCCAGATAGAAATTTTTTGCACTTCACTTTCATTTCTTGGGTCTTCAGTGATGTTAATCATAATTATTAGGGATATTCTGAGCTTGAATCTAAGCTGTTATGTAATATGATCATATATTTTGTTTTATTAAAGTGTTTTATAAATTGTTAAAATAAAGGCTATTTTAGAAATCAAACATTTCACATGCTCAGTGAACAATTTAGTCCATTCATTTATTGAGTGATTAATATAGCCAAGACACTTTTATTAGGGTGATATATTACAGATATGAGAGTTGACATCAGATGTTACTGACTTGACAGACTCTTTTATTGCCGCTTTTAGTTGATTAAATATTATGCTTCTGAGATGCAGTAAATCTGATCAAGCCAAAAAATGTCGCTCTGCTTTTCCTGTTGCTGTGGTGTTGCAAATTGATAAACAGAAATTAAAAACAAAAAACCAAAAAAAACATGTTATAATAAATTGGCTTTGAATTATGTATATTTCACTGTGTCATGTATTAGAACAAATTAATTTTTATTGTGGTATCATATACATAGCATAAAATTTACCATTTTAAACATTTTTGGTGGCATTAAGTACATTCACATTGTTGTGCAACCATCACCACCATCCATCTCCAGAATGTTTTCATTTTTATAAAGCAAAACTCTGCCATTAATTTTTAGAAGAATGTTATAAAAATTTGTTTCCTGAAATTCTGATGATGAAATGGCTGGAATCACTTTAAAGATTGGAAACCTTACCACTTTGGCTGCATTTGACAATTGATCATTGTTTTACTGCATATCGTGTTTCTTTTGGTTTTGCTATATAAAGTATTTGGTCTTTAACAGAGAAAACTTAAAGGAATATAATCTAATACGCACAACCATGAAACTTAGTTACTTCATTCAGGAGCTCAGAAAGTACCATTGAAAGTTGTATACTGCCTAAGATGACAAAAGTAACAGGTATACTGGAAATAATTACTGTATAATACTTTCAGTAGGGTAGGCCTAGAAAATAAAATTTTTTTCGAAAGAAAAAAAGTTGTATGAAATAACATGTAAAGTATTTAGTTCGAACAGGTATACTGGAAATAATTACTGTATAATACTTTCAGTAGGGTAGGCCTAGAAAATAAATTTTTTTTCGAAAGAAAAAAAGTTGTATGAAATAACATGTAAAGTATTTAGTTCGGGGTTTGGTACATAGTAGTGCTCTTTTGGTTATCTTCTCCTGTGTGCATTTAGCATATTTTAAGTTAAATTGCTTTAAATTTCCTTTGAAAGGGAAAATGCTTTTATTTGCAACTATTTCTTGCTACATAATTTTGAATGAGTAGCATTATTATTTGAGTTTGCCATCAGAAAAGAGCTAGTAATCATCAAGTGTAGCTGGATTCCGAGACTATTAGTGTAGAGACTAAATTACCTAGTTTCTTTGCAGAAGCTCGTTGCTTTATGTGGGTCCTTAAATTAATCTGAAGAGAATGTATGTCTTTTGTGGTTACAGATTGTGAGCTGCTTGGTATTATTTAAAAATAGAGTTTTGAGAGAGGTTTGCTTCTGTAAGCTTTTTTTTTTTTTTTGGAGGGGGGTCGTCAGTGGTATGCTTTTGCCGTTTGGAACCTTTGGGTAAACACCTATGTTTTGTTGTCAAGACTCAGCTTCTCGTATTGCTTACCTATTATAGTAAAAAGAATTGTGTTTTAGTGTTATGCTGGAGAGATGTCTTTCTAAAGGTCTGTGGTTTTGGGTTTTAATTTATTTTACCCTTTCAATGAGTAAACAGTTGTAACAACCTGTAGTACTAGGCTAGGATAAACTGTTACTTAAAACTTCAGTTGATGGGCAAAGGTGATTAAAAATTTATTTACAATTTTCAGTGTTTTAAAATACGAAACACTTAATTTGATTTCATTACACTTATAAACTATATGAAAATATTTATCACAGTGCTTAGCCTTTTTTACCTTGCCACTGGTTATTTGCCTAATTAAAATAAAATTGTATGTGTATTTTTTCCCCATTATGTAATAAGTGAGAATATTATAATGACATAATAAAATGAAATAGAATAAAAGTTGAAAAGTTGTTTTATGCATGTTTTTCTTTTGTGAAATAAGGGTTGAGCATTTATAATATAAATGGGAATGGTTTACTTTAAAACTTGCATTTTAATATTCAGTAAATCTTTAAAGAAAATGAGCTAGATAGGGAGGTTAAAAAACAAGTGATGTACTGAATTTAATATTTAGGTGAAGTTGAACCTCTTTGCAAGCACAGATCCACAATCCCTTGTCCACAATTCTGATGTACAAAAGGCTCTGAAAACCAAGTTTTTGTAAAATTTATTTGATTTTACCAAACATCTGACCCGATCTGATGTTAAAATATTTGTAGTCCATTCATCCCTCTTGGTGTAAATAATAATAGCTTTTGCTGGATAAATATTAATGTGTTGATTTCAGGTTGCTGTCCTAGATTCCCAAGAGGGTTTTAGGGAATATACACTATTTATACTGCATTTTAAAATCCAAAAAAATTCTGAATTCCAAAACATCTGGGCCCTACGGTAAGGCCAATGTAGACCTAGGTAAGGAAGTGTAGACTTACAAGGAAATAGTGGATACCTTGAAGCCTAGGGGTTTTTTTGGCTTTTTGAGTCTTGGTCAGATAGCCTTCTTTTTCCCCATTTTGAATTCCAAAATATCTAAATATTAAAAGAATACAACATGCAAATATAAGTTATAAAGCATAAAAAACAACTTTTGTGAAATCACCACACAAGTTAATAAATGAAACACCAGCCTATTGAAGTTACTGTGTGCTGCTGCTGCTGCGTGATTCAGTCTTCTGCATGCTCTCTCATCTGCTACCCTGAACATTTTATTCTTCCTTTGCTTTATTTTGTAGATTACCGCATTTGTGTTTATCCCTAAACAATATTGTTTAGTTTTACTTGTTTTTTTAGCTTTATAAAATGTCAGAATTTGTATTTTTTTTAATGAATTGCTTTTTTTCACTCAAAATTGTGTTTCTAAGATTCCACCCACATTGTGGTTTAGTCATTTTCTCTGTCACCATAAATCACAGTATAGCTCCAATCTACTTGATGGATATTTAGGTGGTTTTTCTTTCTTTCTTTTTTTTTTTTTTTTGCTATTATGGAAGGTGTTGCTGGGGGCATTCCTGGAGCCCATGTGAAGTTTCTGTAGGGTGGACATATATCTGGGAATGGAATTGCTGGATTTTAAGATGCGTTATGTTCTGCTTAATGTAATGGATAGAGTTTAATAGAGTTTAAATTTCCCACCAATATTTTATTATGGAAAATTTCGAAGATTAGTAAAGGAGGTATAATTAACAACAAATACTGATGTATTCATTATCTATTTAGTATTTTGCTGTATTTTCTTTACTTCATCTATTCATCCCTTTAACCTTCTATCAATACATCTTTTATTTTTGATTCATGAAAATTAGGTTGGAGATATTAGTATACTTTACCTTTAAACACTTCAGCATGCATTATATTAAGCAGAATTCGATATTTGTTTAGGTTTTTTAAATATTAAATTTACACACAGTGAAATGTATAAATCTTAAATGTACCGTTGGTGAGTTT